AAGATTTTGGTCATATCGCCCACCGCTACAGCAAATGAATGAATAAAACAGCCTTGAAGCTGCTAAAAGTATCCTTAAAACTTAGGAGGTGCAGTATATTTCAAGTCTTTAGAAGCCATACGACAGAAATGTAAGCCACTATTCACTGAAAATGTTCTGCTCTAAAATCTCTTTCAGATTGCATACATTCATATGACTCATTAAGATGCATGTTGCCAGGTTGAAGCCAATAACAAACCATTAACATCTGCAAGTACCATTTTTTGGTACTTTTATGGTGGGTTTTTTTCTGTAATTTTTGTAGCCTGTCCTCTTTTACTTTCATTGCATGGAAGAAGCAGCATGAACATTCTTTAAAATATCTCCTTTTGTGTTCTGCAAAAGAAAAGAAACTCATATGGCTTTAGAGCACATGAGGGTGGGTAAATGATGAGATGAGAATATTCATTTTTTGGTTGAATTTTCCCTTCAGGAGTAAATGCATAACAAACTAACCACTGAATAAAGCTGAAAGGTTCTGAAAGGAAGAGCCGTGTTTCTGTTGGCTTGTGTCTGGCAGGCTGCCAGAGACCCTCCTGTGAACTCACACACATCCAGACACAATTAATTATGCATGAGCGTGTCCTGTGTTCTTGAGACGCTCGCGTGTTTGCACACAAGTTTACAAGTGTTTGTTTCTGTGATTTTTCTGACTTTTTTTTTAAATAAATGTGCTGTTTGCACAAGTAAAACTTACCAGCCTTCTAAGGAGTTGTGGGTGGTTGCTATGCAGCTGCTAGAGTATTGTGGATGGTTGCCAGGGCATTGCTGTGCAGTTGCTAAGGCGTGCCTACGCAATTGCTAGGACATTGTGGGTGGTTGCCAGAGTGTTGATATACAGTTGCTAAGCTGTTGTGAGTGGTTGCCAAGGCATTGCTATGCAGTTGCTAAGGTGTTGCTATGCAGCTGCTGCGGTATTGTGGATGGTTGCCAGGGCATTGCTGTGCAGTTGCTAAGGCGTGCCTATGCAGTTGCTAGGGCATTGTGGGTGGTTGCCAGAGAGTGTTGCTATACAGTTGCTAAGGCATTGTAGGGGGTTGCCAGGGTGTTGCTATGCGGTTTCCAGGGCATTGCCATGCAGTTGCCAAGGTGTTGCTATGTTGCTGCTAGGGTGTTGTGGAGGGTTGCCAGGGTGTTGCTATGTAGCTGCTAGGGTTTTGTGGCTGGTTTCCATGGTGTTGCTGTGCAGTTGCCAGGGTATTGCTATGCAGTTGCTAGGGTATTGTGGGTGTTTGCCAGGGCATTACTTTGCAGTTGTTAAGTCCATTTCATATTATATTTTTTGATATTTTGCTCTCTTTTGCTTAGTTAAACTTTGTCTATGCTCATTGGCAGAGAGTTCAGTATGCAGATGGTCAGCAGTATAAACCAATCAATACAGCAGAGTGTTTAAACCCAGAGTAGCAGCATGTTTGTTAAAGAAACATCATGTCCACGTCATTTCATCAGCTGCTGATCCATGGAGATGAAGGACTTGGCAAATACAGACTAAACACTGAGCAAACAGATGCCGTCACACACACACACTGAACACAAACACCGAGAAACAAGGTTTATAAGGGACACTGTGCTCATGAACGCACCGATACAGAACAATGAACAATTCACAATGAAGCTCTGAATTTTAGACACTTTAGGTAAAATCAGACAGTTTTATGTGAAATAAAAACAGGCTACTTTTGATTCTTTAAATTGGACAAAATAGGACATTTTCCGCTTCCGATATCAGCCAAATCTGAACAGTTATGATATTTTCAGAAAATTCTAAATCCAGGTGACATATCCATGCAAAGTCATAGTTCACCCCAAGATCTAAAATTATATTTTGCATAAAGAAAAATAAAAGAAAATTCATCCCATTAAGCTATTACGATATTTCAGATTTTCACATTATTTTCAAGACAATTAAACATTTAAAAATTAAACAAAAAAATGCAAAATATATATATATAATTAAAAGTAAAAATAATAAATAACAATTATAATTCTCATTACTGTAAAAATACAAATTCAAAATGTTTAATTATTATTATTATTTTAATTATTTTGAGTATTTTATATTGATTTTTAAATTAAAATCAATATACTGCAAATGCATCCCATCCCATCCCTGAAACACAAAAGCTGACCAGATTGTTTGGATTTGTGAACTATACATAACACCTGACCTTGAGCCTTAATTTCTCTGACCCGTTCACCCTTCGCTCCCTTCACCCCTAAAACACCATCTCATTATCAGACTCCAATAAATCCAACCCCATTAATCCTCTTATTTTCACCCTAACCTCTCATTGTGGCCCTCTAAACCCACACACCCATTTTAGGCCCACGATTAAACCCAAAAATCACAAATTGCAGACAATCCCAAAGGAAATGCTGATGGAGAATCCTGGCAGCTGTCTGAGTGGCCTGTTATTATGATGTCACAGCACTGCGGTCAGTGTGTCGTACAGGTCTGAAGAGCCTCCACATGCTCGGCGGGGTTGTGAAGAGGTGCCGGGATGAATAATAAATGCCCGCAGCTGCCAGGGACTTTTTGATCTCCAGCAACTTCAGTACGGCTGCCACAGGGAACGAGATCTTAGCCTCTTGCGCAGAACCGCAGCTGGCTGTCCAGCACACTTACTAATGCTCACCGATACTGATATCTCTCTTCTGCTATAAAGGAGCAGCGAGAGCATTCATAAGCTGATATTTACAGCACCCCCTCATCTGTACAAGACTACAGCTTCAGCAATCAGCTGATCGGAGCAGGAACTATTTCTGTCTGATTTGACTCTTAAAAACTGGTTAATTTGGACATTGCAACACACAAAAAAAACATTTTGAAGTAGTAATTTTATGGTGTATCATTGCTTATGATTGTAACTTAAGTAAACATTTACATGCATTCTTTGTTTAATATCTTGATTGCAATGGTGGGATTTTGGCATTTCTTATTCTTTTCTAGCGTGTGGACTGTTTTTATTACATATTATACATTTGGCAGGCACTTTTATCCAAAGCGACTTGCATTAAAGGAAGTGTCTTATGCTGTAATTTTAGCTTAAATATTTGTATGCATTCTTCGTGCAGTATCTGGCAACTTGCAATGAAATGAGGAAATATCTTTTGCAATGATTTTCTTTGTTGGATATCTTGTGACTTGCAATGCAATAGTGGGATTTTGGCATTTCTTATAATAACTTTTACTGCACTGTTCTATCTGTCAATCTTATTACATTTATGCATTTAGTACACTGTAAAAAAATATTCCGTAAAATTTACGGTAAAAAAACGGCAGCTGTGGTTGCCAGAATTTTACCGTAAAAAATATAATAGCAAAATTTTAGGTTCTATGGTTTTAACTTAAATTTACAGTTAAATTCCATACATACCATGACATAATGTTAATATACCAACCTATTGAAGTACTGAAATCTGTTTTGTACCTTTGTAATACACTGATAACCACCAAATGCAGGAGGTGATGAGAAAGTCACATGATGAACCAAAGCCCATCACAAGCAGCTTTTAAATAATAACATATATAGAAGGTGCACAGTGTCATTCACACAAACACCAAACACCATCACGGTAACACACATGAAACTGAAATAATGCAATAAACAATCATTTAACAACATTAGGTGTAACACACAACCCTAATATACAAAACTGATAAGAAAAAATTAAGAAGAAACAGTTATTTCAACAAAAAAACATCAAATTTGAAATGTAATGCAGGGAATTCTGGGAATGTCAATTTACGGTTATTCACTGTAAATTATACGGTCTTTTTCACTTCCAAAAACGGTATACTACCGTAAAATTAATGTCCAATACATGTAATGTTCAATACAGTTTTCCACCGTATATAGTAGGGGAATTTACCGTTAACCATTTAACAGGATTTTACTGTAGCATTTTTACAGTCTTTTACCGTTGGGTTAGGGTTAGGGCTTTTATCCAAATCAAAGTGCAAAAGAGGAAGTATCTTATGCTGTGACTTTAACTTAAATATTTGGATATTTCATGCAATGCAGTGGTTGGATTTTGGCATTTCTTATAACTTCTACTGTAGTGTTATATATTTCTATTCTTTTCTGCTTTTCACTTCTGCTAACTTGTGCACTAATCTATCTTATTACATTTACATGTATGTATTTAGCTGTTGCTTACAAATGCATTTAGCAGAGACTTACAAATGAGGAAGGCTCTTATATTATGATTTTTAACTTTAAAAATGTACATGCATTCTTTGTTCCATATCTTGCAACTTACAATGCAATAGTGGGATTTCTTATAATAACTTCCACTGTATTGTTCCATCTTTCTATTATTTTCTGTATTTCACTTATACTAATCTTATTACATTTATGCATTTAGTAGATGCTTTTATCCAAAGCAACCTGCAAAAGAGAAAGTATCTTATACTATGATTTTAACTTAAGTAAACAATTACATGCATTCTATGCATTCTTTGTTCAAAATCTTGCGACTTGCAATGCACTGGTGGATTTTGACATTTCTTAATGCCTAATAACTTTACTGCATTGTTCTATCTCATACTTAAACTATTATGACTCTTTTCATTAAAATGTTTACAATGTTCTATCTATCCTTGAATAAAACCATCTGCTGAATAAAAAATGTTAAATGTAAATACATTGGACATCCGTCAGTTTCTTGTGGCTCCTTTAGATTTCTAAAGTATTTCCAAAAATCTCCCACAAAGACGATGCAATAACATTCACTATGATTGCACACATGTGCAGATGCTCAAACAGAACGAGATTTACCCATTCAAACAATCAAGTCATGCAAGCAGAAATTACAACTTGCTGCCCAAACCAGATTTGGATGAGATTACAGACATCTGGTAAAATCGGATTTGAAAGATCCACTAAATCAGATATCCACCAAAACCCCTACTGCGCATTAATCCGCAAGCAATAGTTAAGAGAAGGTTTCCTTTTTACCTGGAGTTGTTCAAGTTGTTAGAGCTCAGAGTCCACACCGGCTGAACGGATGAAGATCAGCTGAGCCGAACCGAACCAAAGTGCGGATGCTCCGGTGCCACTGGCGGAGAGAGAGCCAATCCGATCCGAGTCTGCTCGAACTTCAGTCACATGAAATGAATTGAACTCCACAAATGAAGCTGTAATTGCTCCCGAGCAGTTTCCGACGGTAAAGCAATGACAAGCACCGGGCACATCCGCGGACGAACGGGCACAGGAGAGACGCGCGCAGATTGACGCCGGCCTCTCCGCAGCGGCGCCTCCGTCTACTGAGAGATCAGAAACAAAAGCGTGCTGAAGAGGAAGAGGAGCACTAAACCACAAAACCCCCTCCCGAACCCGAGAGAGAGAGAGAGAGAGAGCGAGAGAGAGATGCATTCACATTTGAACGGAACTCCTGGGAGAATACATCAATAGCTACATCATGAGTGTTAACTAATCATTTTAGGCTCCTATTTAATTATAAAATAGCTAAACATTTATTTATAGTTAAACATTTACTGTATATTATGGACTACAGTGCACTGAATTTTTAATGTTTTTAATCTGGATTTAAGTCCAATTAAATTAATATGACTGAATTTACCCGAATACGCGAAAATTCGACTACTAAAAAGGTCTATTATCCACTGTGTACAATTTTTTTTTTGAGATTTTGCCATTTTTTTATGTTTGGGAGACATAACAAATTTTTTATATTTTCCAGACAACAAGAAAATGTAAGTTTATTGGCCCTCTCAACTAAGCTGAAACTTGAATGAACTAGTAGAACTGTTGTTTCAACTCAAAAACGCATGTTGAAACAACTGCATCACTCCGAAAAAAATTAAAGGGGTCATGATGGTAAACATACACCAAATACACAAAATAATGTTCTTTTTAGCAACATCATATGACCCCTTTAAGATAAAAAAATTTAAGGCAGCGGGAACAACGTTTTTTAAGTTGATTCAACAAATTTTTTTTTTACAGTGCATTATCAATATATAGCAATGAATTAAGCACAACTCACCCAATCACTTACAAAACAAGCAGCTTTCTGTTGGTAAACGCGTAGAACGCCGATTCACGTGACTTGAACAGCGAAATTGCGTGTGAAACTCCCACACAACAGGTTGAAAATCCAGTAAGTTAACTATACTGCTTCAGTTTTTACTGACTAAACCGAACTTTAAATCATATTTCATAAGCAACGTTCAAGTAAGCTGAAAGTGGTTTGACGTTAGACAGAGAGCGTTTTTTTACCTGAAGAGCGCGAAAATAGACGCTAGCGAACTAAAGTTGCGTTCACAAAACCATAGCAACAGTTATCAGTGCTCCATAGCACATTAGCAAAATAAGTCATTTTCCCAAACTCTATTGCATATTTACATGAAAAAAATGACAAAAACATTAGTATTTATTTTTAAAAATAAAATAAAATAAAATAAATTAGATGGTACGTTTGACTAACTGCAGGTGGCGCCTTAACTAATCACGCCCCAAATTTGGCCCGCAGAAATTGCAGTATAACTATCCTTTAAGAATTTGACCCCCTGAAAGTCGCTGTATAATTTAGACACATTGGGTAGATTCAGGAATAACTTTTACAGCCATGAACAGAAGTATATCATCCGTGAAAAACATAATGAGGTTAATGGAGTCCATATTTAGAGTGAGCTGAGCTTATGATCTGAGCGCCATTAATGACAAACTCACTGAACTCTCAGATCCTTGAGGACTTTTACCTGAAGAGGGGAAAACTGAAATTGAAATCATTGGGCACACCAGCATATATCTCAAATATATCAACAGAGATCTAACATTGTTTGAAAATACTGAATTACTGCTTATTGATATTGTTTGCACTGACAGAAATGAGGACTTTCATCTTCGGTGTTGGTCTGAGACTCAGTAAAGTCTCTGTGTCTCTGTTGCAGTGGAGAGAAATGCTGACTCGAGGCCTGTAACCAATAAACTCTAATCCTGGTAAGAATCCACACACACACACACACACACTTTGAATTACAAGTGCATGCTGCACATATACTAGAAACTGCTTATTATGAAAAATGTCATGTAAAAAAGTATGAAGTATGCAATGATAAACATTTCAAAAATGCAATGAGTAACATTCCGTTATCTCATAAATAAATACGGTTATTTTGTATTTTTGAATCTAGTTTTGTTCAAACACTGCTTTAGGCAGCCCAATCAAATAATGAATCAAAAAAAGAGATGTTAAAAATCACAGGTGATGTCAGTGCCCATGAATTCATGCACACTGCAAAGGGAAGGTCTGTTCAAAGCACATTGCATTGTGGGACAACATTAGTATAGTACAATTAAAATAATTTTTGCTGAAAATGTGCTCACCCTCAGGCCATCCAAGATGTAGATGAGTTTGTTTCTTCATCAGATGTAGCATTGCATCACTTGCTCACCAGTGGATGCTCTGCAGTGAATGGATGCCGTCAGAATGAGAGTTTTTAGTTAAAAACGTCTTAATAATGGATTTGTTTCTTACAAACAAGCAGCTTTTGTCTTCTCCAGATGTTCACTGATGGGCTGGAGTGGTGTGGATTACTTGTGGATTATTGTGATGTTTTTATCAGCTGTCTGGACTCTCATTCTGCATGGTGATAAAAAGGTCATAAACACACTGTTCAGCTCCAGTAGTTCAATGCTGCCACAAAATATATATTCAGAAATCATTTGTCTTCAATTTGAGGTTTGGAGTAATTCTGCTGCTAAACCTGATCCGCCATTATTTTCCGACCAGAAGAAACAGTCTCCCACTAAATATGAGTGTTTATTTCAGTTAAAGGCAGTGATTTAGCCGACCGCTGTTTAATCACCAGCTCGTGCATTAATTAATCTGTTAATGGACGCCATTAATCTCTCTCTGGGGCTTTCAGCATCTGTTTATTTGCATGCCCGTCTGGATAAAACCTTGCCTCTTCTGAACAGAAGTGAATAAGAGCAATGCATGTCTGAGAGAGACGGAGGAACATTTTACTGCTCCTGCTCAGGTCAGGAGACTTTTCTCTTGCATTTAAGCATCAGCTTTGTCTCAGATGTTTCTCCTAGATATAAAAACACACAAATGAGTCCATAATTGTCATCCAGTAGGAGTATAAAGCTATAAAATGAATGTGGAGCAGGTCAGATGATTCAATGAGAAATGCATGAGTGTCTCTGACTTTGAAAAACTTTGAGAAATTTCTGAGATCTGGGGGTTTTTTGTTCCAGGAGAAACATCTGAGACTTGATTTTTCAAAGCTGTAAACAAAGATTATTGGAGTAGGTTTTACAAGAAAATACTATTTCAGTCTTTCTACAAAAAATTAAAAAATTAAAAATAAATATATATATATATATTAAAAATATTAAATGCAAAAGTTAATAAAACTGAAATCACATGCCAGTTGCAAAGCAAAAAATTATAAAATAATGAATACACAAATTGTAATAGTTTGTAGAGTTACAACATTGAATAAATAAGTGGTTTACCTTTAAAAAAAAGTTAAAATTTGATTAAAATAAAAAGTTGAAGTATTAAAATGACTAAAAGTAAATCTAAAGCTACACATAACAAAATAACAAAATCCCATAACAAAACTACTAAAACAGCTTGTGACACTCCAAAGAGAAAGGAAAACTTGAAATCGCATCATATGACCCCTTTAAAATTATGAGTTTATAGTTATATTATATTTATAATTTTAAACATGTTTGAGTGAACTTAAATTTGAACGTTTATTTGATACCTTTGTTTGCTTGAATAAGTTGATACTATATTTAATCTGAAGTTATGACAGCAAAACAAAGTTATGTAAAAAAAAAAAAATTAAACATTGATTAATACATTTTTATCAACATTGATAATAATCAGAAATGTTTCTTGAGCAGCAAAGCAGCATATTATACTGATTTCTGAAGATCATGTGACACTGAAGACTGGAGTAATGATGCTGAAAATACAGCTGCACATCACAGAAATAAATTACAGTTTAAAATAAATTCAAATAGAAAACAGCTATTTTAAATTGTAATAATATTTCACAATATTACTGCTTTTACTGTATTTTTAATGAAATAAATACAGCCTTGGTGACCTGAAGAGACTTCTTTCAAAAACATTTTAAAAATCTTACCGATTTCAAACTTTCAAACAGTAGCATAGATCAATCAGAAGACAGAATATACTGATATCAGCCATGCATTTGCTTTAGATTATTTATGATGTTTAGAAAAGTGCTTGTCGGCAGCACTTTATCACGGCTATTGATTTTTATGCTTCTTTTAAAGTACAGGAAAAAAACAGACAGAAACATAATCATTCCCACTAACCTAAAGCCAAAATCTATAAGAGAAATCTGACTTTCAAAAACTTTTTACAACATTTTTACTTTTGAGGACGTCCCCAAAGGGAGGTTTTGTCAGGTTTAGTACAGTTGAGCACATACACACACGCAGCTTTGTGAATCCACGCACAGATCAAGCTACTCTTTCTTGCCTTGTAGTTTAAAAAATGTATGTTTTGTGGATTTTAAGATGAATAGGACTTGAAATGAACAGATGTGGGTTTATTTCAGCGTGAAGCGGCCCGTCGCTCCTGTACTCGCTCTCCTGATATCTGCGGCCCAGGACTGATTTCTGTTTAACTACACTGATGATGATGATGGTAATTGCCACAGAGATGAAGAAAGGTCATGTGACCGAGGGGCCCAGCTGCTAGTGAGGGAGGTTTCATCACACACACACACAGCTTGAATTGAAAGCGACCCCCATCAGGGCAATTCATGACTGGAATACTAAACAGCTCAGCACTTCAGAGTCTAATTGAGCATGTGAGGGGTTTTCTCTTAGTTAGGCAAGCTGCCTAATGGAACAGTTCACTCCAAAATGAGAATCTGCTGAAAATGTACCAAGATGTAGTTGAGTTTGTTTCTTCATCAGATCTGGAGAAATGTAGCATTGCATCAGTGTCTCAGCAATGGATGCTCTGCAGTGAATGGGTGCCGTCAGAATGAGAGTCCAAACAGCTGATAAAAACATCACAATAATCCACAAGTAATCCACAGCACTCCAGTCCATCAGTTAACGTCTTGAGAAGCCAAAAGAAGCAAATCCATCAAGGCGTTTTTTACTGTTGCTTCCAGCTAAAATACAAGTCTTCTATCTATAAGATTGCTTATTATTCAGTCGTCTGGACTGAATCAGGAGAGAAATCTGCACAGATCAAGCAGCGTTTACAAGCCAAAACAGCTCTAAACAAATATGTGGCT